ACCTCTTAGTTTTGTGAAACTTTTTTGTTTTGTAACAAAGCCTAATTTTTGGCCCTAAACTCTGTGACTGTGTCCCTTTTAAACGATGCCAGTCGCTCAGTAACTAAGCAGGTGGTCTAGTTCCCCCAACTGGTGCCATAAGGCCATTTGATTTTGACGCCCATTAGCTTTCACAAGGGTTAGGGGGAGAACCTTGCACCGAGATTAATGCTACATCCCTGTACCTCTACCTTTGCAAGACAATTTGTTCCAAAGGCATCCCACGACATGCTTAGTCATACTCAATCTGACAGCAGCAGACCTAATGATTAAAGGCAATTAACACTTTATGAAACAGACTGGTCCTTGATTCTGTTAACAAATGCTTCAAGATGGGATTGTCGATGTTCTCAAATGGAGATGATGGCTTATAAGAGATCCAAGACATTGAGTCTGGGAAGCGATGGGGGAAAATGGAAGGTCATGACTGATTTCTTCACTGTGCGAGGGTGCTTCACTGGAGCTCTTAGGAAGTCGCAATGCCTGGTCCAATGGCCACTACTGGGTGACATGGTACAATCACGTGGGCTAAATTCAGCAGTGGATCTAAGTTTAGAAGGACTTTTGGTGTACTTTATATCTCCTTCTGAACCCCCACGCTGTCTCCGTGCAGACCGTTAGACTCTCTCCAGGAATGTCTACACTGCCATCAGAGAACTTGAATGCAGCACGTGTAGCGAGACCTGAACTCGCTTTAATGTAGCTAGCGTGAGTGCCAAGGGCAGGGAAGCCGCAGCAGCAGGTGGGCTGTACAAAACCGCCCAGAATCCTGGGTAGTTACTTGGGCAGCTGCTAGCTTGTGTGGTCACGGCTTCATTGCTGTTGGTACCCGAGCTAGCCAGAATCAAGCTAGCCTGTGTATAGCTGCATGTGCTGCAGGCACACCTCCGTTGCAGTGCAGACATACCCTCAGATGTTGCCAAGTGGGGCTGAGAAAAATTTAAATGAGATTTCAGAGCCGCCTCAGTGATTTAGAAGCACAAACCCTATTGGCTTTCAAGGCAACTTTTCTTCCTGTGTCACTTAGGTGTGTCTGAAAATCCCACCCGGGAAGACTAAGTTAGCCTATGGGAGCGTAATTTACACTCCCATACAAATCACCTCTGGGACTGGTTACATGTATAAGCCAGGTTGCAAAATGACACCGAGGTTTGTTATCTGCAGCCCAGGGGATTCTTGCCATAGGAATCACCAATATTGAATAAAATGTTCAGCCATTATAAATATTTTAAAATGAGTCTCTATTCCACTGCCAGGAAGTTCAAAGTTCAAGAGACTCCCTGTTGCAGAGTAATGCAGCTTTGGGGGAGGGGAAAGCATTATGTCATATAAATATATGAGTGAGCTTCTTACATGAGTCAGAGCTGTCTGGAAACACGATCTAATAGGCCACATTTCACAGAGAGGGCTTTCATTTCCCTTCAATGTGTCCTGTGTGTGTTGGGAATGCATAAGGACCATAAATACTGTAGCCTTCTCTTAAAAGCAAGGGGAATTGTCACCAGACCTCAAGAGCACCTTTTCAAAGTGCTAGGTATGGGGAGTGGGGTTTTCAGATGCTTGGTTCCAATTCATCTGAATGGATGTGGTATGGCCAAAACCAGAAAGCCACATCTTGAAAACTTCCACTGATGGTCTGGATGAAACATATTGGGACTTTTTATTGTTTTCATGTAGGGTTCTGATCTGAGGCCCACTGAAATCAATAGGAACCTTTCCACTGACTGCAGTGGCTTTTGGATCAGGCTTTAAACACTTGACTGGGGCCAGCTCTTCATCCCCAAGCTGAAAGAAGCTCTGGGTAACAGAATCAAGGTGCTCAGACAGCTTCAGCCTTTGGTGAACTTCAAAATGCATCGGTCCCTCAACCCTTCAAGGAACGAGCCACTGCCTTGCTGTTAGGCTTAAACCACTGTGACACCTAAGGAGGCGATATGATTGCTCAACAACAGCTGAGTTTTGGAACTGGAGGTGTAAAATGGCATGCTCACATGGGAAGCAGGAATATATGGAGAGGGCTGTTCAATGAGCAATGCCAGCAGGACAGCTGTAACCAAACCAGTGGCCTGAATGAAACAAATCAATTGCTTTCCGTAGATTCCATTTTCAGGTTAAGCGATGATAGCAAAACAAGTAAAGAAGGGCCAGTTTGATGGTTCTCCCATCACCCCCACTAGCTGAGCATGATCCCTCAGAAACTATAGCGCTGGTCAAAGCATTTCACATTCTGAAATTTCATTGAAATATTCCAGTAAAATGTCAAATTTCAGGGGAAAGGAAACACACATTGTCATTGATTTTTGCTAAAAAAACATTTGCCAACCTGCTCTGATTTTGGCATGTGGGGCTAGAAAATGGAAGTCCAGAGGAGGTTGATCGGGAAATATAACAAGGGGAAAAAGTTACCAGCTTTACTGCTACCACAAAAGAAATCTTCTGGTTTGAGTTTTGGATGAAAGTTCGAGATGGTGATGAAAATTCTTGCACTGTCCAAATTCATCTGCCCGTTCTGTTTTACTCAGCTGAGAAAGTCTGGCTGTTGCAGCAGCCCCTTTAGCTGTTGTGACCACAGCTGGCCAGGATCTTAACAACAGGCGAGCACTGTAGCCACCCATGACTCCGCCCTTAGACAGACCTCCGCGAGGATTAAGACACAAAGGGAAGCACTGTGCGCTCGAGCGAGCGCTGTGGCTTTGCTTTGTTCTGGGTTGCATTTGACTGATCTGATCGCTACTTTTGTTCTTTGTTTGGTTAAGATGATTCTAAAATGTTTACCCAGATGTTTTGTGCCACGGGATGCTGCCAAAAAAGGGCTTAAAGCTGGAGCCGGAACATTCTGAAACAAGAACTGAGATAGAGGATGACCATACTGGCTAAAGGTAGCGGGGTCACTGTGATCTCTCGTGCTGGGGGTGGGAGGGTGGACTGCAGAGAGAATGACTTAACAGTTTTCTAGCGCCCTACTGTTAGCTTCCCGGCTAGCGGTTACTGGACTCTGGGTAAGGAAACCTGAGCTCAGATAAGGCTTTATGGGGGCAACAGATGGGAGAAAGTCTTGGGGCTAAGGCCTTCAGAAAATCCTGCCAACATTAACTAAGTGATTTTAATTAGCTGGGGAAGTGGGTCCTGTTTGTGAATCCACCCGGGTTTGGTCCTGCAGAGGTGAGGGGGAAAGTCCTCTGAGCCCTGCAGCCTCAGCAATGTTCAGGATCATTCCTTAAGCTGGTTAAGAGAAAAGCTGGGAAGTGGATTCAGGAGAGCCAGGAGTGGGTGGAAGGCCCAGCTCTAACCTCTTTCTCTTTACACGAATGTGATGTTGGTGACAGCCCTGGACCCTGACCTGTTTTCTTTACCTTCGGAACAGATAGGCAGGAGGGACCATCTGTAGAGCTAGAGGGTAATTTCACACACACCATCTTGACCTCTCTGATGATCAACTCATTATCCTCTTGAACTCTCTCCTCTGCTGTGATGCCCCAAAAAAACCTTGACAAGGGTTATGTAGACGGTATGCTGGAACCACTGCTTTTCACGCTGACCAGTATTGTCTCATTGTTACCTAGTGCTCCCCCGGCTGTCTCCAGCTTGTCTTAGATGGTAAGCGCCTCATGGCAGAGACTGTCTTTTGGTTCTGTTCAATGGAGTCCCGATCCACTAAGTGCCTAAGCACTACCGTAATACACCTAATAAACAGTAATAATAATGCACAGAGCCTAGCACAATGGGGTCCTGGTCCATGACTGGGGTTTCCAGGCGCTAATATAAATAATAATAATCTAATGAGACTGCTGACAAAAGGGCCAAATCGTGTGATCTGGGCACCTGCCTAATTAATGGATAGTTACCACCAACTCACTTTATAGAAGCCACAAAACAGCTGTCAAGAATCAGGGCAAAGAATCGAGATCTCCAAGTATTGTAATAGGAAGGATTATTTTGCTAACATATTGAAAAAACTCTACAAACCCAATGTGCTCTTTCCTCATTTCTCCCCCGTGTTCCCCAGAAGAGCGCTGCCATTTTGTTCTCAGCAGGGCAGCCATTAGGTTCTCACCACACTCTTGTGAACAACGGATTCCCTTCCCTCACTCGGTTTTTTATTTTTATTTTTTTTTCCCAAATGAACCTTTGCTCCAACATGTTGTCGTCTGAGATTCTTCTGAAGCCAAGAGAGCCTCGTCCAACATATTCCTGAACGTGGCTTAACAGGATACCTCACACACCTCCCCTCCCCCAACTCTGGCTCTTACCCCGTTATTCCCTATTCAAGAATATACAGGACATGGAATCCCCCTACAGCCCACAATGACTCCCCTCTTAGTGTGAACCCCATGAAGGCCACAGCCTCAAACTCTACGGAGGACATCCAATGGGAGGCATGTTGGCTTGGTGAAGTTTCTGAATGGGAATCTCGACAGAGGTGGGTGAGCTCTGAAATAGCGACCCGGAGAGAGTACAAGCGATGGGGGAAGCTGCTTGAGAGCTGGAAAACGGCCTTTTGACTACACTGAGATTTTCATGTCAAAAGATCAGTTTTTGTCAAAACCTATTTCCTTCCCGCCCCTGCTTTCTATAACCAAAACCCAAATTAGTTCAATTTTGTATATAAAAAACCCTCCTGTTTTTCACCAGTTGCTGAAAAAAAGCTTGGATTTTGGTGGCAGAATTTTTTTCCACTTTTTGGACCAAACCCCCCAAAATTTCAAAGAAAAATTGATAAAAAAGTGAAAAAAAAAATTGATAAAAATTTTTCACAGGAAAAAGTATGTCCTGACCAGCTCTGGGATCTTCAAAAGTGATTTAGGTATTTAGGACCCTAAGTCCTATTTTCAAAAGTGACTAAGGGATACATTTTTAAAGGCATTTGGGCACCTCCCCTGGGAGTCAGGCACCTAAATAGATTTAAAAATCCAGCCCTTAGTCACCAAGGCCCAGATTTGTAAAGGTATTTAGGTGTTGCTGTACTCACTGTTGCAATACCTAACTGATTTAGGAGCCTAGATCCCATTTTCAAAAGTGATTAGGAGCCTCAATCTTAATGATGAAATTTAGGTGCCTAAATCAGTTAGACATTGCAAGGCTGAGCACAGCAACGCCTAAATACCTTTTAAAATCTGGGCCTTAGAAGCCTACATCCTATTGACTTTCAATGAGAGTTAGGCTCTTCTAAGTGCCTATGTCGCTTTTGAAAAATAAAACTTAGGCTCCTAAGTCACTTAGGCAAATCTGAAAATGTTGTTCCTGGACTTTTATATAGACATAGTGTCAAATCCTGAAACCACTGACAAAGGGCCAGAGCCCTCTTGACTTCAATAGCACCAAGCTTTGGTCCACAGCCACCTTGCCTCGACCGTGGAAGCAGACACCAACCCGCTGCTAACAGAGGAAAGAAAACAAACCAAGCAGTGACATCGTGTCAAAAAGAACAAACAGAATGGAGAGCGTTTTCAGCACACCTCTTACATTTCCTCTCTACTGATATGTAAAAAAAATATATATTATATTATATTTTTTCTTTTCTTAAATTATTCTTTTTTTCAGCCTCAGTCCCAGCCGAAGTCGTGCCCAGTCATCTGGTAGAACTTCATGTTGAAAGGCCTGTAGAACTCTCGCAGTCTCTGCACCACCTCTCTGTCTATACTGGGGTGGGTCCTGCCTTTCGTTTTCCCCAGGCAGTGGGGTTTACTGCTGCCTTCAGCTTTCTTCAGGCAGGGGAAGCCCTTGGTTTTGTTGAAGTAGAAGTGTTTGTCCGTGATGATCCTCTTAAGGCCCAGAAAGTCCTGGACCCTGCCCAGCTCCCCGGCGGGGTCGCTGATCAGCCTCTCCCCGCTGACGAAGAGGATCTGCCCAATGGGGAAGTAGAGGAGCCAGTTCTCCAGGTGCTTGGCATAGATGCCGATCTGGATGGCGCTCCACGAGGTGTCGATCAGGCCTGTAGTCCTGTTTTTGAAGGTCAGGCTCTCAAAGGTGGGGATATCGGGCTTCTTCGAGAGAGTCTGCGTGTAATCGGAGATGGCTCGGGTCACGGGATCCCGCACCACCACGATGAGCTTGGTGCCCTTTGACATGGCGGAGATTCGAGCAGGTGCTTCCTTGGTGACAAAGTAGCTGGGAGTTTTCTCCATGGTGATCTGTCCATCCAGGGTTCTGGGCATCAGCTCCCTAACCGGAACAGAGAGAGAAAACACATTAATGCAGAACATCATTGAGTGAGGCATGCGAGTCCAGGACACAACATGGCCCAGAGGATGATGACCTGGGAGTGAGCATCAGGATGCAAGGACACTATCTATGTTCTGGTGACCAAGGGGTTAACTCCATCTCCTCCTGCACAGGTGGTGAAGGGGAAGAGCTATGATGCCCTGATTCAGCAAGGTACTTAAAGCACAGGCCAAATTTCAAGCCCATGAGTGGCCCCATTAACTGCACTGGGCCTGAGCGTTTTTTTAAGTGAGGCACGGCCTGAGAACTTTGCTGAATCGTGGCCTATGGGAGGCTCTTTGGGAAACAGAAGGGAAAGCTGAGCTCCACACCAAGGGTCATGGGACAGGACTGAAACCCAAGTAAGGGAGTTTCCCATTTCCTTTCTATTGCTTAGGGTGACTTGATTTGTTGCTGTGACCTTACTGACTGTAGCTGCATGTTCTTCCACCTGCATGTTCCTCCTTATTCCTTAATTGGACATATCCATTAACAAACAGTTCCACCCTCGAATGGTACCTCTGAGTTGCGTCAGTAACAGAAATGCGGTGGGCACATGGATTGCCCCTCTCCAGCCAGACACATTGGAGTGTCCCAATGGCTCAGAGAAGGGCAATACTATAGAAAGCATGACGCTACTCAGAGAGCTAGGGTGGAGAGACTCAACGTGAAAACATAACAGACAAGAACGCAACATCATACTAATGAAGTTAATGCAACAGGAAAGGTAGCAACACCTGATGATCCATTTCCACTGGAGTCACCAGAAATACCTCCATGTACTTTGGCGGGAGCTGGATCAGGCTCTTGGGGCTTGTCTACATGGGGAAATAGCCTGGAATAGCTATTCCGTACTAGCTCCCCATGTGGACACTCTTAGCTTAATCTGTTTTGGAACTGGATTAAGCTAATCCACACAAATGCTCTCAGTGCAGAAAGCAGACTGAAAACTGATCAACAGCACTGACATGAAGAGTGGATCAATAAGGATGTCAGTTATGATACTGCCCATTTATGTTCAATGGGACTAAATTCTAAAGAAACAAGACCCAGGAGTTACTGGGGTTCTGGGTTCTCTGAGAACACTATAGTGTCCCAGTGCCTCCAGGATCGCTTGCAATAACTTCTTATAACATTGTACAAACACCACCTATCAAGGCAATTACTGTACAGAGCAGTTTCATACTCTCTAGTTATGTAGAGAGTATGTCTTCACTGCAAAAAAAGATGTTCTTAACTCAGATTAACATAGCAGTGTGACACGGCACCTCAGCTTTTAACTCAGGTTAGCAGCTCAAGTTAAAGTCTGTAGGGGAGCCTGGGTTGAACTTGAGTTGCTAACCTGAGTTAAAAGCTGAGTTGTCTTTTCTTTTAACCTGAGTTAGCTAACCTGAGTGAAGAACACACTGTTCACGTGCAGTGAACACATACCCTTAGGGAGATGTGGCAACGCATTTGATGGGCCTGTCTCAGAATAACTGATTTTCACACGGGTATCGGCATGTACAGTAGAGGATGGAGCTGGGTCTGAGTCAGGAGGAGATGGTATGAAAACATAATAGGGAACTTCCAGAAAAAAATCAAACCTTTGCTTGCAACTGCACAGTAAGAATCAATTTAATCTATAAATTACCAGTGTCCTGTCCCTTTAAATTCCTCCTTGCCCACATTGGGATTTCCTGCCTCCTGGCTTGAATTCTGTTGAATAACACTGAGTTCCTGTAAGAAAGACCTTCCTGTAGGGTATGAGGAATTTTAAAGGGCCAGGACTGTCAGTGACTATCTTTTGGGGTTGTCCAGGAGACAGCACAATGGTTCAGCCTAAAAATGTGCAGTACTAGCCCCCTGCCCTCAATGCGTTCCTCCTTCCCCTCCGCCCTAAGGAATTCTACACTCCACATTTCCTTCCTGTCCATTCACGAAACTCCCATTGCCTGTGGTGTGAAGTGGTGTGGAAAAGCAAAGGCAGCCTTTGCCTCTAAGAATTCAATGCAATGCACAAAAGGCCAGGGAATTCAGAGTTAAGGTTACCCACCCTTATAGGTGCAACGTACCTTGCTGGGCCTAAACTCTGCGAGGTCTAAAAAAAATTACATATGCTGGGCTTCTTATGCAGGCCAAGCTTCCATTGATGCTACTGTGCGTTTTGCCTGAGAAAAGACTGCAAGAGCTGGTCCTATATTCGCTGCAGTGCTTAGTCAAAGAGGAATGAACTCACGGTGCCAGCCGGAACTATGAGCTTCTTTGCGTGAATCTGGTTAAGACAGACACATGCAAGTTGAGGCAGAGCCAGGGTGGGGCCTTGGGGAAAGGGGCGGAATGGGGGAAGGGGCTTCGGGGCCGAGCTGGGGTGGAACACCCCCGGGGAAAGCTGAAAGTCAGTGCCTGTGGCATAGGAAGAATAACTGACTCGCCCAGGGTCACACCGAGCATCTGTGGCCTAGCAGAGAATTGAATCAAAAGCCTCCTGAGTCCCAGTCTAGTATATTGATCACAAACTCAGTCTAGTATATTGAGAGGCCACAGGGCATGAGCTGCACCATGTTCGATCCTCTTAGACTCATGCCACCTACCAGGGACCGCTGAATGAGCCCAATGGCTGCAAAATGCCAGTCATTCAAATGATCCTGTACTGGGCCAAGTGAGAAGCCACCTCAGATCTACTTTTCGTCGATTCTCACTGCAAACAGCTATCTGCTGTAAATGAGCCTGTTCTTCCCAGAGGACCCTGAAAATAAGCAGGATGCCTGCTGCACTGGTAGCAGGTTTCACCTCAGTGCAAAGAAGAGCTCTCAAAGAAACTGCACCCTTTGCCCCTGAAAAACGGGGATTGTAATCAAATCAGCAACTGACCCCTAGCCTTTGACCTCCCCTTGGCACTAGAACCAGAGTGCCATGATGAACTGCCTCCGGCCCATATTGCTGTTACCGTCTGGCAGTGGCAACATCTGGATTGGAAACCTGTGCAAAAACACCAGCAAAATTAAAGCCATCGATCAAAAAGGCCCCAACAAAAACCTAGGCTGAGTTGTTAGGTTACAAATGAGATAGAACCGACTGATTGTTTCTAGAGGAATGCTTTTTATTGCATGCCATGTGTCACAGATGCTTGTGCAAAGAGCGGGCCCTTGACAAGGCTGAGGATTAGCTGTCACCAGCCGGACAAGGCAGGTTTTGTGAATAGCTTTCCTCGCACAGCAGCACCAATTGCAACAATGCCCATTTTGCAGGTACTCGCTTGTCTCTCTCCAGTTTGGAAGCTTTGTACTGTAAGTCTGGAAGTATTCAACTCCTTTAAAGGGAATGAGAGGTGTTAAGGTAGCAGGAGCGGATGCATGCGATCTTGGGAGAGTCTGCATGCTGCCATCCAATGGCACTCTCCCCCTTCAGGGGCTCATGTTGTAATTAGGGTCTGCAGGTAGAGTTGCTACCTGCCCAGGTTTTCCCAGGATCCTCCTTTGTTTGAGGTAGCAGTCCTGGGAAATCGGTAAGGACATTCAGGGTACGTCTACACTACCCGCCGGATTGGCGGGTAGTGATCGATCTATTGGGGATCGATTCATCGCATCTCATCTAGACGCGATAAATCGATCCCTGTCGACTCCGGAACTCCACCACTGTGAGAGGCAGAAGCGGAGTCGACAGGGGAGCGGCAGCCATCGATCCTGCGCCATGAGGATGTGAAGTAAGTCACTCTAAGTCGATCTAAGATACGTCGACTTCAGCTACGCTATTCTTGTAGCTGAAGTTGCGTATCTTAGATCGATTCCCCCCCCCAGTGTAGACCAGGCCTCAGTATGTGATGCCAGCTGTCCAGTTTTATGGGCTCAGTGTCATCCTGGCTGTTCCAACTTTTTGTATCTCAGAGGTGGCAACCTTATCTGCAGGCAGGAACCTAAACGTACAATGCAACAGAGAACAACGGGAGCTTGCAATATAGCTGTTACAACGTATTATTAGCATGTATTATTTGCATTGCCATAACTCCTCGGAGCCCCAGTCATGGAACAAGACCCCCTTGTGCTACGCACTGTGCAAACACAGAGCAAAGAGACAGCCCCTGTCCCAAAGGGCTTAGGACCTAGAACTGTGCCACATGAAAGAAACACAGCCCACTTTAATTTCAGTCCACGAGCCATTCATTCCAGCCTCATGACGTACCGTCATTAACGTGCAGTAAGAAAGTGTGAGAGTAGGTGCAGACAACTGAAAAAGCGGCATGACTGGCTGCTGCTAGTAAGATCTTGATCATACTTAGCTGCTTGTAGGCAGCAGAGAAGAGACTGGAGTTTTGAGCATCATTTCAATGGAGACATGAAATCAGTGAGACAGAGTGAGTTCCACCATTCCTCCAAGGTGGTTATACTATTACAAGGCAATTACATGGTAACATTACCAGAGTATCTGACACTGCAAGGCAGAGAAGTATTGTTATCCCCTTTGTACAGCTGGGGACTTGGGGCCCAGAGAGACTAAGGGTAACATTTTCAAATTCACCTGAATTAGGAGCCTTAATCCCATTTTCAAAAGTGACTCGGGCACTTATGGCCAGATTGTCAAAGGTATTTAGGCACCTAACAATGCAGATAGGTGCTTGGTGGGATGTGCAAAAGCACATGATTTTTGAGCGCTGGGGTTGGCAATACTGCAAGCTGCCTGTCTCCTGCTACCCAGAAAGGAACAAGACTGGCTGACAGGTTACAAACTCTTTGGCATTTCTAGGACTTTGCCGTGGATACTCTACACCACAGGAATTGCCAGAGGGGCTCAAAGCAGTGGTCCACCCAGTCCAGTACCTTGCCTCTGACAGTGGCCTGTTTGAAGCATTTCAGAGGAAAGTGCAATAAACCCTTCAGTAGGGGGTTATAACCAAGCCCACGGGGAAAGCGCCTTCCTGACCCTCATCAACTGGCAGTGGCCTGATGCCCTGAAGCATGTAGGTTTGCTCTGAGGCATGGGGA